CAACATTCTTTAATGAGATGGAAAAACTAATCATTAACTTTATATGGAAAGCAAAGAGGCTCCAGATAAGTAAAGCATTATTGAAGAAGAAGAACAAAGTAGGAGGCCTTGCACTCTCTGACCTCAGAAACTACTATATACAGCTGTGGTAGTCAAAACAACCTGGCACTGGTACTATGACAGACACATTGACCAATGGAACAGAATCAAGAACCCAGATGTAAATCTATCTACGTACAGCCACCTAATCTTTGACAAAAGCCCAAAGTCCATTAAATGGGGAAAGGACAGTCTTTTTAACAAATGGTGCTGGCAAAACTGAATGTCCATCTGTAAAAAAATGGAACAGGACCCATACCTCACACCATACATAAAAACTAACTCAAAATATTATCAGACATAAATATAAAACCAAAAGCTATAAAGATCATGGAAGAAAAACTAGGTCAACCCTAGGGGCCCTGATATATAGCATAAACAGGATACGAATCATAACTAACAATACACAAACACCAGAACATAAAATAGATAACTGGGATCTTCTAAAAATTTAACCTTTTTTTTAAAAAAAGGAACAAAGGAAAAAATAAAAATTAAACACTTATGCTCATCAAAAGACATCACCAAAAGTGTAAAAAGAGAACCTACAAACTGGGAAAAAAAAATTGGCTTTGACATACCTTACAAAGTTCTAATCTCTAAAATCTATAGGAAAATCCAACATCTCTACAAAAAGAAAAAGAATCCAATTAGAAAATGGGCAAAGGATATGAACAAACACTTCACCAAAGAAGACATTCAGGCAGCTAACAGACACATGTGGAAATGCTCATGATCACTAGCCATTAAAGAAATGCAAATCAAAACCACAATGAGATACCATCTCACCCTGGCATTACTGATACAAATCAAAAAAATAGAAAATAACAAATGTTGGAGAGGCTTTGGGGAGGTTGGAACTCCTATGCACTGCTGGTGGAAATGTAAAATGATACAACCATTTTGGAAAATGATATGGTGCTTCCTTAAAAAGCTAGAAATAGAAATACCATATGATCCAGCAATCCCACTCCTAGGAATATATCCTACAGAAATAAGAGCCGTCACACGAATAGACATATGCATTATTGCAGCATTATTCACAATAGCAAAAAGATGGAAACAACCTAAGTGTCCATCAGAAGAGGAATGGATAAACAAACTGTGGTACATACACACAATGGAATACTATACAATGATAAAGAACAATGATGAATCTACAAAACATCTCACAACATGGATGAATCTGGAGGGAATTATGCTGAGTGAAATAAGTCAATCACAAAAGGACAAGTACTGTATGAGACCACTATTATAAAAACTCATGAAAGGGTTTACACATAGCAGAAACAATCTTTGATGATTACGAAGGAAGGCAGTGGTGGGGAGGGAAAAACACTAACTAGATAGTAGGTAAGTGATAACTTTGGTGAAGGGTAAGACCATACACAATACTGGGGAAGTCAACAAAACTTGACCAAGGCAAAGTCACAGAAGCTTCACAGACATATCCAAACTCCCTGAGGGACCAAGTTACTGAGCTGAGGGCTAGGGACCATGGTCTCAGGGGACATCTAGCTCAATTGGCATAACATAGTTTATAAAGAAAATGTACTACTTCCTACTGTGGTGAGTACAGTCTGGGATCTTAAAAGTCTGTGAGCAGCCATCTAAGATACATCTTCTAGTCCCATCCTTACTGGAGCAAAGGAGAATAAAGAAAACCAAAGATACAAGAGAAAGATAAGCCCAAAGGACTAATGGACCACAACAACACAACCTCCACCAGACTGAGCTCAGAACAACTAGATGGTGCCAGACTACTACCACCAACTGTTCTGACAGGGATCACAACAGAGGTTCCCAGACAGAACTGGAGAATAATGTAGAACAAAATTAAAATTCACACAAAAAAGACCAGCCTTGCTTGTCTGACAGAGACTGGAGAAACCTCGAAATTATGATCCACAGATACCCTTTTAACTCAGTACTGAAGTCACTCCAGAGGGTCATCCTTCAGCCAAAGATTAGACAGGTCTATAGGGCAAACAATAACACACGTGAGGAATGTGCCCCGTAGTTGAGTCATGTAAAGGAGACTAAAGGGTCATACCAGCCCAAAAGCAAAGACAAAGAAGGGACAGAAAAACTGGACGAATGGAAACAGGGAAACTGGGGTGGAGTAGAAGAGAGTGCTGACATATTGCAGAGTTGGCAACTAATGCCACAGAACAATTTGTGTATTAATTGTTTAATGAGGAACTAATTTGCTCTGTAAACTTTCACCTACAGCATAATAAAAGAAAAAAAATCAGTCTATAGCTTCCTCAGATTAGCTCCTTTTCTGTTTCCCTATTTGGGGTGTTATCCAGCTCCGTCCCAAAATGGTTGCAATGAGTGAGCACTCCCAATGTTAGCGAGTAGATTCCCCCAGCTTCTGTGCTGTCCCCGCTCCTCCTCTCCCCCACTTCTGGACTCACCTCAACTCTCCAACACCTCAGCTGCTGTCCAGAATTTTGTGATCTTAGTCTGTACTTGTTTATGTTTGTTGTTCAGTGGGTTGGCTGCCGGGAGAGTAAACGGGAGCCTCCACTTACTTTGTCATCTTGCTCCGCCTCCTAGTTTGGCTTTTAAACCAACTATCTACATGTTCTTGGGAAGATAAATTCACCATTCTGTACTTCAATCTCCCTTATTTATGAAATACCATAATTGGACTAGATCAGTGTCTTCAAACTTTCTTGACTAAGACACACAATAAAAAGAAAAATATATTTACATCAACTGCACACACACACACACAGATATTGCAAACAAAAGTTTCATGAAGCTACACTTATCTAACTTTGATAAACTCTGATATTTTCTGTTCTATTCATTTATATTATACCCCATACTTTTAACAAATGCAGGTAGCAACCTAATAAATTAATTTCAGGACCCACTAATGAGATAGGAATTACAATTTGAAAAATATTGGACTACATGTTATGTAGGTTTTCATTTAATTTTAAAGTTGAAAATGTATCAGGGAAATTTTCTGTTCTTGTTTATACTTTTTAAAGTCCCCTCTTGTTAGTATTGTATCTATGCAATAGATATCAATATATTTAAATTAGTGAAGTTAACTAATAACGTATTATCTCAAGATTCAAATATTGTATATTTTAAATTAGTAAATCTTTCAAAACTAGTCTCATGATCAGTTACTAAGAAATTCTTAAGAGTTTCTATCTACTGACATTTTACTTGTCAGTTCCTTTGTTTCTATTTCCCCAGGCACATCTGGATGAAGGCAAAAACAAAATGATGAAGGAGGGAATCAAAGTAATGACAAGAAGGCAATTTCTTTCCCCCCACACTCATATTTAGGGGCTGACATCATAGCCACATGGCATGAACTACAGATGGAAAAGTCACTCCATTCAAATCAGGGAACTTAACCTTTATCTGATAAAGACAGGAAAGACTTCAGCAAGGAAACTCACACCTGTCATGTTGAGGAACTAGAAACCAACAACCAAATACCACCATCCTTGTTCTGAAAATAGCTTCTGTTAGAGAAGTAAAATAGAATGAGTGCCAATCATTGGACTTCCATTGATGTTTTTCCCTGATACTCTTTTATTCTGCAGAAAATACTGAAAATAAAATGGCAACTGTAAAGAGAGGCCTAACGCCTTATTTCCACATCTGCAGCTCATTCTGACTCACGCTGCCCTAGAGGGCTGGCTCACAGCCTGTCTGTCACCAACCTAACCCTCCTTCAGTTTGCTGGGCCCAACCCGTTCCTGACCCATCCTGCGAGGATCACCTTCAGCAATGCATGAGAGAAGATTGCTAATGTCCTGATCTATGGGAAAGCTGTGACAGATGCAGACAGAATGGTAAGTTGTAGGTGCCATGTGACTTCCTGGAGCCAATAATCTGGCTGCTATTCAGGATGGGTGGACTGTGTTTAGTCAGACACATGAGTTGATTCAACGAAAGACACGACCACAGTGGCCAGCCAGGTCTAAGCCAAAGAACAGAAGGTGATTTCAGTTCTGTCTGGACCAAACAGAGCCAAAAGTGATCATCACGCAGGGTGGCAGGCCGGAGTCCTTCCAATTTGCCACCTCAGTATACCCTTCTCTTTTATCACTTACCTTTTCTAATTTCTTTCTTTATAAGTTTCCTTTTCTGTCGAACTTGCTTCTTTCCTTCTTCTGTACTTACTTTATTTTACCTGTAGCTTATCTTTCTGAAAATGTTTTTATTATTAAAAATTAACTTTAACATGTTACCTGCCCTTGTTTCTTGCTGCACTAAATAATACCTCATAGGCTAGTGTAGTATTACCAAGTTGTTTCAGTCATTATAAATTTATGTCTCACTTTGCATATATTGTTACAATAATTTTCATCCATTTTCAGGAGGTTCTGACTGCACTGTATGTTAGCTAAAATACAGCTAATTTATTCATGCAGCAAATTAAATCTGTGTTCATAGTTGATCAGAGCCAGAAGACATCTCAAAGATCATCAAATCCAAACCTTGAATTTTACAGATGAGAAAATAGTTGCCCAGAGAGTTCAGAAGATTTGCTCCAAATCCTAATCTAATATTCAGTGTAATTTGAGGCCCAGTATATGAGACAGGTAAAACTAGCCAAGTATGGAAAATCGTGTGCACACAATAATTTCTTGAGAAAGCAATTTTGGTCATTGGATGTTAAACACCTGAACAAAACCATGGTACAATTATAAAAACTAGAAAATTTAACATTGATACAATACTATTGCCTAATCATTACTCTGTTAGTAAATAAGGAAGGCATTTAAGCCTGTACATTTTATTCTAAGTATAGCTGTCACTGTGTGCCATTAATTTTGGCAACAAGTATTCTCATTATGTTTTAGATATTAGTACTGTTTTATAATAGAAAAAATGAAACCAAGTATAAAATGTTGCTTTGTTACCTGTTGATGCATCAATCACTTCATAGTTTATTTCAAAGCCTTCATAAGCCAGGTCAGAGTCAGCCACAAATATCAGCATTAATGAGTTGGTACTGCTGGTAAGAGAGGGTGGGATTGATTTTCCACAATATCTATTCCAAACAAAAAAAGAAAAGATGCATAGGTTTAAAAAATTTAGCACATTTACCAAAAATTAGGACATGTAAGTAAAATAATGGGTTTTAATATATACCCCTATCAATATTATAGTAGCTTTTTTAAGTATAAGTATACTTTTAGCATTGCTAGAATAGTTTTTCTGATCAAAATTTTTTGTTTTTCAGAAAAATCTATACATGGCTAAGTAGTAAATCTTTTACCACTCCATAGGACAGCTATGAGTTAGAATCAACTCAACAGCAAATATATTTATAAAACAAATATACTTCAGGCACAAAATATTTACAAGCTTACTGAAAATCATCTGTTCATGATTACTTCCTTGAAATGGTTTTACATGTGGGTCTAGTTGTGTGACTTGTTATGTATAAGAAGTTTAATAAAATTAGAAAGCATGAGCTATACTAAATCACCATAAAGCATATTAATGAACTTATTAATAGAAATGTAATAAACTTATACAAAAAAGGAAACAATGTACATAAATTCATAGAGCATAGACTCTAGAGTCAGCTATAACACTTAGAGGCATCATGATTTCGAGTAGGTCACTTAGACTCTGTGCTTCAGTTTCTCTATCTCTAAAATGAGGATAATAATGGTACCTACTTCATAGCGGTGTTTTGAGAATTTGATGAGCTAATATAATGTGTATAAAGTACTTAGAACAGTGCCTGGAATAGTAATCCCTATAAAGGTCAAAGCTATTAATTTTGGGACAGCTGGCCTATAGAGAGGTAAAAGATTTATTACTAAGCCATGTTCAGATTTTCTGAAAAACAAGAAATTTTAATCCAAAAACTATTCTAGCAATGCTAAAAATAGACTTACAGTTAAAAAAGGTACTATACGAGCTTTTATCTAGAGAAACACCTGTAAGGAATAACTAGAAAACAGAAATCTCAAATCAAAGCACACTTGACAAAATTGACCAAATGGTGCAACAGGCAATAATAATAATAATAATGTAGAAGCTAAGGTAAGAGGAAAGAGTGGAATATGAGGAAATGGATGAGCTGATTTGTGAGTGAGAAAAAGAAAATTTGGTATACAATGCCATTTCATGTTAAAAAAATATTTAAGATCTTGATCAAAATAAAGGTAGGTGGATTAACTTGAAACGTCTCTGTATATGCCCATTTCTGCCAAGTTTGTAATTGATCATTATATTTTATGTCATTCAGCAAAAATGATGAATTTCACAGTGGTTATGAGACAAAAACAAGAAAAAGAAAAAGGTTAAAACATGAGAAATAAAGATAGAAAAAATGAAAGAGGAGAATAGACCTAGGAGAAAAAATAAGTTTAAGACAATAATGGATAAAGGAAAATGTAAAAGGAGGGAATAAGAAAAAAGAAAATTAAACACAAGAGGAAATAATAAAAAATAAAAAATCAGAAGACTTCCATTTTCAGCTAAGATGAAGTAACAGGATTTAACCTTCTGCCTGAAACAAGTGAAAAACTGGAAAGTCATATATATAGGATTATATAAATAAGTTGTAAAGGATTTCTTTTTATTTGGATCCACAATCAACATCCATGGAAGCAGCAGTCAAGAAATCAAATGACGCATTGCATTGGGCAAATCTGCTGCAAAAGACCTTTTTAAAGTGTTGAAAACCAAAGATGTCATTTTGACTAACATGCACCTGAACCAAGTGATGGTGTTTTCAATCACCTCATATGTGTGTGAAAGCTGGACAATGAATAAAGAAGACCAAAAAAAAAAAAAAATTGAAGCCTCTGAATTATGGTGTTGGCAAAGAATATTGAAAGTAACATGGACTGCCAGAAGAGTGAACAAATTCTGTCTTGGAAGAAGTACGGCCAGAATGCTTCTTAGAAGCAAGGATGGCAAGAACTTTGTCTCACATACTTTGGACATGTTATCCCTAAACTTGGAGAAGGACGTCATCCTTGGTAAAGTAGAGGGTTAGAGAAAAAGAGGAAGACCCTCAACTAGATGGATTGACACAGTGGCTGCAACAATGGGCATAACAGCAATTGTGAGGATGGCCCAGGACCGGGCAGTCTTTTGTTCTGTTGTCATAGGGTCACTATGAGTCGGAATCAACTCGATGGCACCTAACAACAACAACATATATGCATACATACATACATATGTGTGTGTGTATATATATATATATATATTTAAACTAAATGATGAGCTGCATCCTAGAGAGGGTCCCACAGGAGAAAACAGTAGAAGATTCTCTCAAACTCCTGATTCCAAAGAAATCTAAAGCCATGCTTCCAAAACAGTGATAAAAAGAAAACGTTAAAAGAAGCCAGAAGAAAAAGGACACATTATGTAGAAAGAGACTCAGTCAAAAGCAAATTTTCACAGGAAAAAATACAAACTGGAAGACACTGTAGCATCATCTTTAAAGTACTGGGAAAAACAACTGTCAACTTAGAATTTTATACTCAGCAAAAATATCTTTCACAAATGAAGGTAAAATACTTTTCAAACATACAAATAATGTATGAAATAATGAAATAATTCATCACAAACAGACCTGTACTACAAGAAGTGTTAGGGAAGTCCTTCAAGCAGAAGAAAATTGATACCAAATTAAAATATGGATCCACACCAAAAAATAGTAACTATGTGGTAAATATACTTTTCTTATTATTATTTAAGTCTGTTTTTAAAAATCACTTGTTTAAAGCAAAAGTAACAATGTATTGCAGAAATTTATAACATGTAGAAGTAAAGTATATGACAAGAAATGCGCCAAGGGTAGGAGGGAAGAAATGGATATATAACTGCTGTAAGGTTCTTATACTATACTTAAAGTGTGATAATATATCTTGAAAGAAGATTGCAATAAGTTAAATATGTGTACTATAAACCCTTCAATAATATAACACAACAAAGAATTATACAAATAAGTCAGAGGAGGAGTCAGTTTAAAAAAGAATTATAAAAATAATTAACCCAAAAAAGTCAGGAAAAGAGGAAAAGGGAAACAAAGAATAGGTGGGATAAATACAAAATAAATATAAAATGTTATATTTATAACCACATATATCAATAATCACATTAAATGTATAATGAATGATTGAATAAAAAATCACCACCAAACTATATGCTATCAACAACAAACCCACTTTAAACCTAAAGACATTAATAAGTTGAAAGTGAATGAATGTAAAAAGATATACCATGCTAATACTAATAAAAAAAAAATCTGGAGTGACTATATTAATATCAGACAAAACAGATTTCAGATCAAAGAATATTAACAGGGATTTTTAAATCATTTCATAATGATAATAGCATCAATTCATCAGGATGCTCTAACAACCTTAAACATTTATGCACCTAATAACATAATAACTGCAAAATACATAAAGCAAAAACTGAGAGAACTGCAAAGTGTAAACAGACAAGTCCATAACACAATCAGAGATTTAATCATCCCTCTCTCAATAACTGATAAAACAAGTAGACAGAAAACGGTAAAGATTTAGAAGATGATCAAAACTATCGAGCAATTTGACCTAATTGACACTTACAGATCATTGTACCTAAGACCATCAGAATACACATTCTTTTCAAATGAACACAGAATATTTACCAAGATATACCATATTATGGGCCTTAAAATAACACTGAATAAATTTAAAGGGATTCAAGTCATAAAATGGACCATAATGGAATTAAATTAGAAATCATTTACAGAAAGATATCCTCATAGAAAATCCTCAAATATTTGAAACTTAAATAAAACTGTTTAAATTAACCAATAGATAAAAGAAAGAATCAAAAGAGAATAGAAACTACTTTGAACTAAATTAAAATGAAAACACAACATATCAAAATGTATGGGGTGCAGCAAAAAGCAGTAGTTAGCAGGAAACTTTTGGCACTAAATGTTTATATTAGAAAAGAAAAAAGGCCTTAAATCAGTGACCTTAGCTCTCATCAAGAAATTAGAAAAAGAAGAGTAAACAAAGGCCAAAGTAGATAACAGAAAAGAAAGAATAAAAATCACAGTGGAAATCAATGAAATAGAAATAAGAAAAACAATATAGAAAATCAATAAGACAAAATAGGGTTTCTTTGAGAAGATTTTAAAAAATTGATAGACTTCTAGTCAGGTATATCAGTAAAAAAAAAGGCACAGATTACCAATATTAGGAACAAGAAAGGTGACATCACTGCATATTACACAGATACTAAAAGGAAAATAAAAGAGTATTATGAACAATTTTTAAGTGTATTTGACAACTTAAATAAAATTTACAGAAGTTTGTGAAAGCTACAAACTCTTAATTAAGCTCATTCAAAAAGAAACAGAAAAATTTTTCACTAAGCAAAGTAAAGGTCCAAATGGCTTCACTGGTGAATTATACCAAATATACAAGGAAGAAATAATATCTATTCTACATGAACTTTTCCAGAAAATTGAAGAAGGAATACCTCCCAACTCATTCTATGAGGCTATTGTCACTGTAAAACTAAAACCAACAAAAAAAACATTATGAGAAAAGCAAACTACAGGCCAATATACCTCTTGAACATAAGATTTCTTAACAT